GGTCAATCCCATTCACCTGCAATGAAAGCATACAATGATAAAGTGTGCAGGACTTTCCAGCAAACAAATTGAAGATGCCTAGCTAGCAAAGGACAATAAACGTGACCAAAAAAAACCACCACACCTCTAATATCTGATCCCCAGCCCACAGTCTCCCATCTTTAGACGCTGCTCCTTCTTCATATACTTCATGGATAATGATTGCTCCCTGTGGATAAATAAAACAAAAATAAACTGCATGCTGAAAGAACATGCCCCTACTTTGAACCAAGAGCAACTGAAAATTCTTACTATAATTCATCAGTGATAAACAAAACAGTCAGATGTATGATGAACAAATTACCAAAATATTTAAGAAGTTCATTTATACTTTCAATTTTAAAAGTGTCTTTTTTTTTTTTTCCTTTCCCTTCCTTTCCCCCCCGCCCCCGAACTGGTATCTTTGGTACCTTTCTATAAATGCTACCAGAACAAATGAAGAAAAAATATCTTCTATCAGACATTTTAACTTCATTATTGTTATTTCACTTGAGTGACACACATATTTTTCCAACGAACCAGCAAAGTGTCTGCTCCTCCAACAATGCTCAGACCAAGACCAGTCCTCCCTTTGGAAATATCAATGGTTGTTTCACATCCAGGAATGATGGGACAAGTAGCTGGGTCAGAGGCTAACGTGGCTGGAGTTGAAGACCTGCTTGTATCTAAAACAACAATTAAACAGCCTGGTTACAGTAAGAGGGCTCAGTATTAGAAAAGTGACTTTAAAAGAGCATTTTGAGAGTTCATTGACAGCTCTACAGCAACAGCTGAACAGCTGACCTACAGAGAATGATGCTGCCAACTCTCCCTTTCCCTCAGACAAGTACTATCCTGTAGTTTTACTTGCAGTTGTCCTGTGTTTATACTATCAAGTACCTGGATGAAAGTTCTGAGTTTACTGATAAAATATCACACACAATATGCTGTATTTGTACTCTCAGATTCACTCTTGCAGTCTGGATAGCCAAAGAAGCTATTGTACACAACAGATGCTATTTAGGATAGAATTTAATTTAAACTTCTATACCAGCAACTATGCAATGCAGATCAGAGATAAATGAAGTACACAGTACTTCATGTCAGCCCTGTACTTTTGCAATGCGTCAAGTCAAGGTCCATCTAACAAAATATTCCATCCCAGACTCAGATATGTACCATGAGAAAGAATGTTAAGTATGAATAAAATATAGTGGTATTTCACAAGTCCAGCAATCCATGGTCAAGTCAAAGGTTTTATACACATCATTATATTTAGTGGCCCTCAAAAAGAACTTTTTTACACCAGTCCAGTTTTTAACTGGCCACTGACACAACCTTTGGAAGCAGTAAATTTCGTGGTGTAAATGTCTATTCTCATAGTGCAAACATATATGGATGGCATCCTTATGTAGCAATTTATCTGTAAATTCAGTATCTCTTGTATGTCACAAATGGATCTTTGCTTCAGTACTGCAGTTAGTTCTGTATCCTTCAAAGAAAAAAAAAAAAGGCTAAAAATACTAGAAGGGGATATTGTGTAGCAACTAAAGGAAAGAATCGGCAATCAAAATGCCTGGGATGTTCAGAGTATCTCTATCACTGATGTCCTCTGTGCTTTAAAGAAACACCAAAATTACATTTTTTCCAAAAAGTAAAAACAGGCATCTAAATCCTTTTGAGGCACTTTAAAAGGGCACTGATTAAAAGAAGTTTCACTGAAACTAACAGAGGACTTGACCATTCAGCAATACTCATTTATGTTAGACAAATAGGTATAGTGTGAACAACAGGTCCTGCAGAAGCAGTAAGCCTCAAAACGAAGAGGCTTGTCCTCTGAAGGGAACCAGAAGGGCAATTAAGACTTTTTAAGGGTAAAGCTCTGTATGAGTATAGAACAGGTTACTCTACTGCTGTTACGCAAATTCTTTGCTTGTATGATGAGCAACTGCTCATGCTTAGTTCAAGCTAAGTAGGGGAGTCAAGGCTTAAGTATAATAATTCTGTCCACAAGGCATAAAATGTACATGAAATACATGAACTGAAGAACTGGAAGGGAGTCTTGGTATGCAAGGTTGACCTCAGCTAAATAGCTGCATCAGTATTGGACCAAAAATTGCCTACATAGCACTGCTGGAAACACCGAAGTTGGGTAGAGATGTAGTAGAAATCAGACCAATACGGAAAAAGTAGTTAGAGATGGGTTGCTTATTTGGAAGGAATCTGTCCAGAGAAAACAAGGTGCAGGGGCAGCAAAAAGGTGGGCTTGGTAAAAAAAAGATGGGGAAGAAATTATAAAATCAGGTAGAGAACCAAGATGAGGGAGATCTTCCAGTTGGGTTGTGGCTGCCTGTAAATGGTAGCGAAGCCAAGTTGCAATCACAAATCCCCAGGATGCTGGAGGGAGCACTGCTGAAATCTCCATCAGGTCTTTATCCCTAAGACTTGGTGTGGCAGGGTGGAGATGGAAGGGATAGACTTGGACAAAGCGATAGATTTTACCCCAAAACTAAATGCAGAAGGGAAGACAACAGACTTATTACCTAGTAGGTCTCCCGTGTGTTTCTTAAGACTTCTTTATAGTAGTATAATTGGGTATCAATAATATTGCTAGTAATAAGCAATAGAAATGCAACTCAGTAATACCTGCAGTGATGTACATATAAATTAACTGTGTTGTGTGCATTACTCAATTAAGTTATTATTAGCTTCTTAGTAGTGTGTTGCTTAACCAATAACCATCATCAATCAGTAGCATCTCGACTCTCCACTCTAAAGGGGGAGAGTCAAACGTGGCTAGTCATAAATGGCAAGACGGTCTCAACGATTTCCCTGTTCTAGGAAAGATGACATGACTTTTCTCCCTCATTTAAAGGAATGCCTCCCACTTAGTTCTAGACAACCACGACAGAGGCACCTGCTGCACAGCCTTTGGAAGACAGGAGGAAATCCCTCCATCCTCCCACCTCTACAACAGGCCAGTGGGAAGGCAGGAGTTAGTTCTTTGGTGTGGAGCCTCACTGCTTTATTTAGACGGATCTGTAATCCATAAGTACCAGAAAGTGTAACTCAGAAGACAGCTGAGCGCATACAAAAAGAGAAAACTTGTTTACAAGCTGGATCTTCATTTTTATATCACAACCCCAGTGAAGATAGACACACAAGGAGAACGCTACTTTTGACTGCTTCTGGTTCTGGTGAGCTGGAAGAAGGGACAGTTGCTGGCGGCTGCATGTTCCTCCGCTCTGCTGGGGCAGCGCTGGAAGGGACTGGTGCTGCAGTCAGGCTATCCGTCTCTGCTGAGTTGATTGTAAGCCTCACCATAGTTTTGGATGTCTTCAGGAGACTAATAAACTGAATGATAAAGAGAAAAGCTGGTGAAGACTGTAACTGGACTATTCAGTTGTAAAACAAAAATAAAGCAGAAGAACTGTTCTGCAAACTGGAGCAACAAGTCACAATCCTGCAAGGTTTTCTTGGTAATGAACAAGGACAAATATTGATGGGTTTTTATAAGAAACAGCAATAGAGTTAAGTGTGGGCCAGACCTGGCTCATGTTAACCAAGTAGCTTCCATGAAACTTCGCCAAACTATACCAGACAAGAATTTGGCAGTCTTTTGATGGCTTCTCTGGACAAAATCCTATGTTTTAGATTATTAGAAAAATCAGAAAACCAGTATTGTCTTTTAATGCTTGGGTGGAGCCCAATTCTGATCCCACAGAAGTCAAAGCCAAAACATCTATTGATTTAAATAAATGTGCTACTGCCATCCTAGCTCCTTAATCAGATGCACAGCTGGAAGGAGAACCTGAAAATATTATCTGAACTATGGGAAGGAGAGAAGGACACTAGGGTGTAACACAAAATCTAGTTTAAGGGGATACTGAAAAACCTTCAAAATTAATTGCCATCTCACAGTAAAGACATCAAATCCTCCCGAGACTTTACTTTTCAGTAGAATCAGAAGTATTTTCAGAAATTACTTACTCAATCTGTCTCTTCTTCCAAGCCTACCTACTTCCCTGCAGACAACTTCACTATCTTTTACTCATTTACTGCTTCAGAGATAGCAGCACATCAAAGAGTAAGATGGAGGCCCTCCTAATTGCCCTTTAACAAACAGAAAGTGATCTTCTCATACCTAAAGAAATCATTTTTCTTGGTAGCAAGGCAGGTGCTAGAAAAAAGCCCTCCTTGATTCATTACAGAACCCAAATTGAGTTTGGAGAGCTAGAAGTTAGAAATAAATCTTGTTATTTAGGAATGGAGATAGTTTTCTCCGAAGGGCTGAAATACCAGGCTTGGAATATAATGAAGCCGTTATTACAGACACTCCGTGTGTATAAGCACAGTTCATGACCTGATTTACCAGTGATGCAACTCACCCATGTAAATTTAAACGTATTGATTTTACTGGTTCTAATACTTTTAAACTGGAGTAGCTATGAAGAGTCATTATTGAGCGATAATTCATGGCTTTTATCCCACAACTAACTGCCTCTCAGTCATCAGATCTGAACCACAGGGAAAAAAAAAATCGCATTTGTAGCATAGAGGTAGACGATTCATGTACTGCATTAATGTAAAATAGCAGCTGCGCTTTAAATTCAGGCTTTAGCTTATTCTGCAGTAGTTTCATTATCCAGACAATGCCTGCGGATCTTTGGTTCTTTAGCCAGCTTTGAAAATGAAGTCAGAGTATAGTCACGAAAACCTCACTCGTTTCTTTAAGACACAATCACCTCCTACTTTAAGTGGTGTGATTTCTGCATCATTCCTGACACTTCAGAAGCACCTTTTCTACTGGATATCCCACAACAATTTCATCATCCACTGCCAGGATCTGATCTCCAACTTTGATTCGTCCATCCTGGAAACAACACAGAATAAAAAATATGAGCTCTGGATGCTACTCCAAAAAACATTTTTCATTCCCTACTTGGATTTTAAATGTTTTCACACCTTTGCTGCTGCACCATGATCTGTTAAGCTCTTAATAACTACTCCATTAATTGTGTCTTCTTCACTAATGGCAATTCCCAAGCCTCCTTGATCCTGGGGCAAACAGAAAAATGCAAATGGTTAGGTACTGTGTTTATCACAATGTTAGAATACTAAAGACTAGTGAGGCCTGCAGACATAACAAAAGTTTGGGTTTTCACAATGCATCAGTATTTTTGTTTTAAACTAATCTATTTCTGAAATAGATTTTGCCAACCGACAAACAGTACATTGGCTACCAAGATAAATCTGAAACACTTCTAAATTCAGAACCACTCCTTTGAAACTTACAAGGTCAACTGTGATTCAGTTTTTAAATTCATAAATAGAAGTAAGAAACACAAAATACTTGGAAACTACAAACTGAGGTAAGTCAAACTTCATGATATAGGTTAAATTCATTATTTGAAACCACAGAAAAAATAAACACAGGAGTGGAAAATACAGACGATGGAAAAATGTATGCTTTTCCCATGAAATTAGTAGATGTTTGTGGCAAGTGAAATTTCCCTAATGCTTTGACCTAGAATTAAATCATCCAGATACCATCATCTGTAAGATATTCTCCTGGTTAATAATGGAAGGCTAGATGCCTTCCAAGGAGAAAAACTTACCAACGGTTCACAAGTCTCTATCCTTATGTCCACCGAATACAACTGTCTTCTCCATGTCAATAAGCAGGAGCGGCAATTTTTCCACCCTCCTTTGGCAGCTTTATAGTTACAGAATACCTGGCCATTCTCTCCCAGCTGCACAATTTCCACTAAATATGCATGTTGTTTGGGGGATTTGGTGCTTATAAACTGCTAATTCATCTACTTTGAACAACTAAGGCAATGATTTTACCTGAGGCACCACCAGCAGCTGGCACCAAAAGTTTTGCAAATAGGACAAGAGGAGACTTATTCCGGAAACACAGAGCAATTGGCAAATTTATGTGAAGTTAAAAAGATTCATGAGGTTGCCAAAGACAGTCATTATGTCAGGAAAACTTTGGGGTCCATTCACAAATAGGAAGAGAAGACCTCTAGAAACCTCTATTCTGACTTCCAGTAAGCAAGGGACAAAGTTTGTTTGCCATAAGAGGGACTCCATTATAAAAAAGCAATCTAGTGAATACAGATGTGGCCAATGTAAATTTAATTTTCAGCACATACCTTAGGGAGTTCCACATACTGAATGTTTTTACGTGAACTGAAGTCAGAACAAGCACTGGAGTTTGCAGCACTGATATCAACCTAATAGAAAATGAAAACATAACTTTGAGCAACTATATTCAATATTTTACATCAAAATAAAGTAGCGCACAAACATTTAAAGTGGGTCTGATCTTTTTCTGGATTCATTTAAACTGCTATAACTCTATTCACATGAAATGTTAGATTTACTCCATAGTTTAGGTGAACATAAAGTAAAACAGAATTGAGCACAGCTGTACTAAATTCAGCAGCTTTATTAAAATCTCATTTGTTTTTCCCTTGGATTTCTTTTTCTTTTGTATTATTTGCTAAGCAGACAGGGCAATCCTCTATTGAGAACGTTAGTATCTCAGTCAAATGAGAAAAACAAAAATTTACTTTACCTCTTGATGTTGAAGAGTCCCTAAAGTACACTGTGAAGCCTCTATTGATTTTGCAGGGCAAACAGCCATCTGATTTACTGCATCTTTATTTCTACAATAGATTCAGTTAAGAATGTAGTAGGAATGTAGTAATACAGCACCATATTTCTTAGAACATGTTTAAGTTCAGCCCCTTCTTTTACTTTATTTCTGGCACTCACAATGCAAATATCAAAACAGAAAACTCAAGACATATTTACAACTACTAAGAACTGGGTTCAAAAGCACATCTACCTTACCAAAATTAAAGCAGAAACACTGTGCAAAACCTGAGCATATTGAAAATAAACGTTTTTTAGCCAAACCTTTAACCAGAACTTACCTGATAAAGATTATTTTTACTTTAGATGGTGCACATTTGATTATTGAGGAAGCATTCTGATGAGTCCTTCCGTAGAGTATTTGCCCATTTATCTATACAAAGCAAGGTTATCAATTATTTCTCAAAATATTTTAATTCTCTTAAACTAATTTTTAAGCCTTAAAAAAATCCATTATCCCACATCACTGGCTAAAGCAGAAATTGTATTAAAATAACAGAGTATGTTCTGTCCTGCTTTCACTCTCTTCTTCCAGTAAAAAATTCCGTATAGTTTGATTTCAGACTAACACTGTCACAGTGCTAAAAATGTCATTCTTTGAGTTATACTGGGTTGACTTGGCATATCATGTATTTCCACTTGCCATTGATCACCTCATGACTGATGTGGCAATAAAGCAGGGCCATGGGAAATTCTAACCATAACAAATAAATGAATCGCTTATGACCAGCAACAAGATTGCTATTACTTATTGAAACTCAGCTCTGAGCCAGGCACTTTATACACAGGAATCTGAACACTGGTGCATTTACAATCCAAAGATTTGACCTGACAATCATTATCTTCGTTTGGCAGAGCAGACTCACTGAAACCCCTTGCAGCTCCTATGATTCAGATATGATTGGAGGTATCAGCGTGAATTTGTAGAATAAGGCTATTATTCGCTCACATTTTATTAGTTGCATTTGTTCTTGGAAATGGAAAACTGCAGTGCAGAAGTCCACTCTAAGACAGGGGAAATGACTGGAAAAGGACAGCTTGGACCTACACAAAGGGAAAATAATGCAACACACACTGAGGTAGTACTAATAGAAGCAGAGAAGCAGAGAAACAGTGAACAGTGAGCAACAGATGCAAGACACTGAACTGAAGGTTGAGTGTAACAGCAACCCCTCAGCTCCCACGCAGGCTATGTCCACCAGGCATCGTCACAGGGATATTGAGCCCTATCATTTACACTGGAGGTAACAATCCAGATGCAGCCCTACTTCCAGGGTTTGCCATGGGCTTGTGAAGAACCATGGTCAGGCTGTCAGCTGGGGGATGGGCCACGGCCCACCACAGCTGATGGACAGCTACTTGGGAACATAAGGAACAAGCTCAGGTGTCTCCTCTCAGAAGAGGTTGAGACAATCTCTCAGCATCAGTTTGCAGGTTTACAGCGTTGACAGTAAGCAAGGAATCACATGAGAGCAGACTCAGTCAGATGTGTTTCAATGTGTTCTGCGGATACTCAGTATCTGCAATATCAGGGTTTTAAAAACAGACATTTTAACTGATTCAAGAGAACCGTCTAGCAGGTGACATCGGACTCTGCAACTAACAGGTCCCTCCATGAGACTACGTCTACAGTGCCACAAATCCCTTAGTTTCTCTCCTAGCCTGCAACTGCCAGCCTACATAGTTTACTCTCTAACGTCTCCCTCAAATTTTGTTCAGTCTGACCATTCCCTCCCTTTACATTCTCCCCAGTGCATCCTCAAACACCTCCACATAGTTTTGAAGTTACACAAAGCATTTCTGTGAGGATAATGTTACCTACTGCTACCAGAAAGAATGGGAAAAGCTATAGCAGAGAATACATCTGCAAGTATCATCAACTGAACTGCGGTAATACAAAAATATACCTTAAGCTCATATACACACTGGCAATGTTAGCTGCACATTCAGCAGTTGGGTCCCTCCACAAGGCCACTAGTAAACAGCCCGAATGTGTCATGAGATAAAAGTCCACAATACAAATGGACCTGTTCCTGTTTCCCAATTCAATTTTCATTTTAGATGTTACATAACCTAAAAAATATTCTGATATTATCACACTTCCAGTAGACAGAGAAGTAATTAGAAAGTCTGGAGCACTCCACAGATGGATGGACTAAAGGACTTCAATATTTTCCATGGTCTGCAATGCATTGCCCTTCCATACATCTCTGTAACCCAGAAACTGCTGTCATCCCCCATTTTTATCCATTTGAAATACACACACACATTTACTCAGTACTACTATAACCAGGAAAAAAAATCTCAGCTGCAACTATTTGGCATACACCAGAAAGAAAATCTGGTAGCATAGTGATGTCAACTTGGATAACTTGGGGATTTCAAAGTCCATTGAAGAACACCTACATTGCAGCAAGAATCTAATATTTTAGTGCATTTTAAGTCAGTATGTTCAGGTTTCAGTAAAAATTGCAAAAACTCACCTCTAGTAACTCATCTGCAATCTGTAACCTGCCATCTTTGCCAGCTGCTCCATTTGGATCAATTCCCACTATAAAGACACTCATCCTGGATCGGTCTTTGTTACCAGCAAGACTAAGTCCCAGACCTGTCCTTCCTTTTTCCAGCTCAATCATGTGTAGCTCCCCCGGTAGATTTCCATAGCGTTGCACGATCTTTTCTAAATGTAAAAGTGTGGACAGCAGAGGTTGGATTTATATTAGAAAGTTTCACAAGTCACCTAGAGACTCAAGATCAGTGTCCAGTGGGCAGTATCTGACAGAAGAATCACAAATGGGATGAGAAAATTTTAAGTGTACACTACACTTTCTTTTAAGCTAAGCCTTAGGTGATTTATAATAGTATTTCTAGTTCCTTGTTTTCCTTCTAACTTCAGAAAACATTAAAACTTCTCTTGAAAAAAGATTTTTCTCACATAAAAGCAATAATCTTCCCTCCAGTAACACTTTCAGCTAACAGAAGCTACCACATCAATCACTGCCATCAGTTACCTAGAGCACACTTAAATTCTTAAAGTAGTCCTATGTGTGAAACAGTGAATCTGGACCACGGAGGAAAACAGAGATTGCAGTGCAGTGAAGAAGAACAAATTAGTTTTATATTTCACCATGTGCATCTGACCAAGCACAGCTGAAAGCTGACAGGAACACTTAACACCCAAACCACGAAGCACATGAGAATGAAGTAGTTCAAACTGGACCCCCCATATCTTCTGCTACAGTGCTATTTCAACACTGAATATTTCAAACATTATCACAAAGGATAAACTTACTCCAGCTGTAACCGAACTCATCCTCCTTCTCCACATCCTCTGGGACTCTGCTAAAAGATGACTGTGCAGCATCACAGCTCATTCCTGAAAATGCTGAAGGAGGGGGCAGAGGCAAGTTACAAAGCGAAGTCTTTTCTGGCTCTAAATCGGACTGACTGAATGCCTGTGGAGAATAAGAAAAATGCAGTGGCTAAGCAGATGCAGACTCTGTGTAGGGCAAACTAGTATACAAAAATGTGGAAATGGCAATGGCTATGGCTTTGAAGTTTAAATACCAAGCAGCTGGAATTCTAAATGAGTAACACGGCACAGAAAGGCTGCAAGAGATCAAAGATAGAAACGAACACCAGGCAAGGTAAGAGATAACATCACTCCAAAATGTATTCGGAAGCAAACAGAACTCACAATAAAAGCCCAATTCAGTAAAGTTTTATGTGCCACTTCACATTTCAGAAAAAGTTTCTTACGAAGACTCAAGTGACTTTTTTTTTAATGCCGTATTTGTAAAAGACTTCTACTTCGTTTTATTTTTAAAAGCCACCGCATATAATTTCTTCCTATGATATGCTTTGGAAGCCAAATAGGAGGAAAGGGAAAGGACACAAAGAACTTGGTGCTTTCAAAAACACCTCCAGAAAAAAGAAAGTAACTGGCATATTAACTGAAAGGACAATTTGAAAACAAAATGAAACAGACGATAACTGAAGAAATCCACAGTAACTGGACTTTTTCAGTCTTATTTACTGGTTTCCTATAAACTGCACAGGGGAGATCAAATAAAGGAGGATACAGATTAAATCACAAAGGAGAAAAATACTTTTGATCTTGATGTATGTGGTCTACTCATATTCACAAAAAGCTAAACGTATAAACAGACGACTACTGCAATATAATGGTTAAATGCCCAAATCCACAATCTGGCAAGCCTCCATTCACGTTAGTTTCCCCGAGAAATATGGACTCTGATCAGGGATTTGGCTAAGTGTTTGTAATTGATATCATTTTGGCTTGCTCAGAGTAAACCTGTAGGCAAGAAACTCGTGTCTGAATATCATCATTCTGAAGCTTGTGCATGCCCAAGAGACTTTGATACTTAGCAGATCAGCTGTTGATATAAACAATAAAAATTTTAGATGAAAACCAAGAAATTTTTCCAACACTAGGATTTTCAGGTGTTGCCCTAGCTTCATAGTCCTGTTCTCATCATTTCAGCTTTCATTACCTCCATTAGCGAAAGTTTGAACACAGTATCTCAGATGGTGCCTCTGGGTGCCAAAAACACTGAGACAATTTCTTCATCAGAGGCAACAGTGAAATGGATAACAACATACACCTTGGAAGACTTCAATCTGCTTTAAATTGAAGGTATTGAAAAAACTAGGAAGTTACCAATTTAGTCATACTGAGATTTAAGGAAGGTCCCATCTCTCAGGGAAAATGAGTTACCTTCATTGTCTGTATACTTGAAAGATACAAAGAAAACACAAATGCCCTATTTCAGTTCCCTCATTCTGCTTCTCCTTGAAGTAGATTTTCTTTTCATTCAGTAACTTGTTCTAGGAGGTTAACGAAGAAGACATTAAATGTCAAAAGTGTGGGAAATTTTAATATGGCACCCAAGCCAATCATTTATATAAAAAATGCCATATAAATGCCATATGATTTTTTGTATCATTATACCAGTCACATTGATCTGTGCTTCAAATCTAAGACAATGCCATCCTGCTGAGATGATACCTTGCATCACTAAACTTCATGTAGGAATTATTTACAGTTTATGCAAATTACACTCTAAAACATGCTAGTAGTTACAGGGCAGGCATAAACCTCAACTGAAGCAGCAAAATTCTAGCAAAGACATTATTACCCATCAGAATCAGAGTAGGGTGGAAACACTACTTAGTAACATTCAAAGTGATTTTTCATAATCATAAATTCATGTATCCACCACGGAGAAAAGTTGGTGACAGATTTCTACCTCAAGGAGGCGTGAAAGGGAGAGTAGTTCTAGAAACACTAATTTTTCAGAGTGCTTCCTAGAAAGCTACATAACATACTGAAAAAATGAGGAAATACAGTGTGAGAGCAGACCAGATCAGCAGACCTTACAGTAGTCTCTGTGTTCTAAAACCAAAATTAAAATATCACTTTAGTGGTAACTCTTGGTGAATGACAGTGTCAAAGAACTTTGCAAAATTACAGAAAACATGACCAAAAAAACCCACAAAAAATTGCTGTCAAGGACCTCTGCAAGATCTGTAAGGTGTGGATGTATGACTACATCCTGACAGATTAGCACTTATGAACCGCAGCCACCATAATCTGATTGACAAAAAAATGCTTCTTTCTCTACCTCTGTGCCCGCATACATAAATCTGAACATGCCTGATGTTTAAGGTAATGCTGAAATGAAAGTAAAAGCAAGGCTCTTTTGTGAGAAGGGTAAAGAGGGTGTTACAATGCCATTTGAGTGGAGGGGACTATGTCCTGCCTCCAGAACTCAGCCTGCCATGCAGGCACCGCCAGCAGCAGAAGCTGGCCTCCGCTGTTTACACACACATAAGACTTTTGCTCCCTGAATCGGGCCACACACAAAAAACCTAAAATGCTTTAACTCATGAAATACTTTCAGTGTGCCACAGCACAGTATTTCATTTAAAATGCAAAGCATCAGACAGTGCATGAACCCATTTGGCTACCAGGGTCACTCTGATCACAGCCAAGCAAACATTAAAAATGGCAGCAAGTTTGGAGCGGTATCACTTTCAACAAAGGAGGCACACGCGGAGGAAGAAGCAGTACTCTGGAAGGTATCACAGGCCATGTACAAACGTACAGCACACATACGGTAGGACCCAATCACTGGAATCAAGACAAACCTTGAATGGTGTGGGAGCAAAAGGGTTAGTTGGGGAACAACGGAAGGTAACCCTAATTGGATTCGATACCTCCTACAGTAACAGAAAACAGCAATCCACATGTTACAGCACCTTGGGCAACACGCAACATTATTCATGAATAACTAATTTTCAATTATGGATTCATTTTACTAACCACAGCAACTTTATTAACTCCATTTATAACTGGACAAAAGTATTTAAGGGGTTATTAAGGACCCTGATTCAGCAAAGTTTCTTACTGTACATGAACCTTAGTTCAGCAGAAGTGGACAGAGATGACAAGAGGCTATTCTTACCTCAATGTTAAAAAAGGAATTATGCAGAAACTGCAAAAACATTAGGTTTTCTCTAAAAATACGTGCAATTTTTTCCAGAAATACTTTTGAAAATATAGACAGTACAAGCCATCATTTATGTTATGCTTCTACTCCCTTTCCTCAGAACTGTAACAAACACAAAGACAGATTTCAAAAACACACATGCAATTATACACCACATATCATATCATAAATGTTTGTTGTACATTCGATACATTTGACAACATGGGAAAATAGATAAAGGGCACAATCACTCCCAAGATGTATAACCAGTTAGAAATTATTTTATTAAATCAGAAATGCATGCACATAAGAATTAAGCCTTTATTTATTACTGTGTTAGAGGTTAACTCTGTTCCCAATATGAATAACATGCAGTAAGCACTAACCACAAAAAACAGAATCTAACTTTTTTCATATTTCCAAAGATGTCAGCATCATCTTCATGGTGCATTAAAAGAACTTTCAAGAAGCAGGGGGAAAATATTTTCAGCATCATAAAATGAAAGCTGTCAATGTTTTTTTTCATGCAAAAAGAAAAAAGAGCTATCAAAGCTGGAAAGTCCTAACCACATAAAAAGAAAATGAAGTTCATAGCAGCAAAACACCTCATGCTGATGAGAGAGTTACACTCAGGCAGATATTTTAACATATACCACAGGGACTGATTTTGTAATTGAGAACCTACTCTTTGGCAGCTCTGATTAGATCAGATTTAGTGGTTATGATTAATGGAGCTGGCATTTTTTAACTTCTTCAAAACTTTTCTATGTGCATGCGTGTCTGTGTCTTTTTAATTCACTACACAGAATTTCCACTCTCATCAGCACAATATTTTACCCAAATTGGCATAAAAGAATTTAAATGCAGAGAGATACTAATGGCAAAGAAGCATATATATAATGTTTGGTGAGTCAAAAGCAGACAGTGTGTCATCATCCAACCTTGTTTGTGTTGAACTGAGAAGAATCAGCAAATGGGTTAGTGCTGCTGAAGACAGCTGGCCTACAGAAAAGACTGTTCTGCGGGAAAGGCAGGGAAGGGTTCTAAGAGGAAAACATAATAGAAACTAAGCAAAAACATTTTTAGATTAACCCTTTGTGACTCGTGAAACAAAACATATTTATGTAGCAGTTTGTGCTAACCAAGCAAGGTCAGCTTCCTGCACTTTGCTACAGACATGGAAAGGTAAGCAAAACTGTATTTGTCCCGCGTTTGTATCATCAGCTATGTTTAGCAGAGCGTAGAGGAAAAGCACCGATCCTCATACCTGTTCTACCCCACAAAGTGCATAAAGTGCAGAATTCAGCAGCATGAACAACAGAAAATTTACTTGCTGTGCTATTTGTACAATTTTGTCTAAGCATTTCAGCATTTGGGATACTCTTACACAGTTAATTATAAAATTGTGGATTTCTGGATTAGAATAAACACAAATCTTTGTAATAATGCAGTACGCTTAATTATATTTTGAAAACCACAGATTAATTCTCATAATTTGATTTACCTCTTGTGGTAACACACTCACTGTGTATTTCGCAAAAGAGAAGGTTTAGTAATATTAGGCATCTCTAAACAGACTTAATATCTAATAATAACTTTTACAGATCGCTTTGTGTGCATGCATTGATAATTTTCTGAATTTATAGTTTAATGAAACTAAATTCTCTGGTCTTCTTAAACAATGCAAGGTACTTTATTATTATTTAACACAAAAAGAGTTTTCATATTTAGACAAAATTAAAGGATGTAATTTGACCATTTATATTCCTTATGCAATTTTTGTACTGCACTCTATTTTGAGATCAGAACCTGTTTAATAAAGAGGGGACAGCTCTCATTTTGCATAGTATGCTGGAAATACTGTTCAACGTATACTTAACAGTAATTTCTACACTAGGTGTATCCATCTGGCAATTGCCTAAATGTCTTAAGGCTGTAAGTTTAACACTGCCGGAAAATAAGAAGCATAATAAGTGGAAAGGAATGTGAAAGGTTGCAGCATCAATTGATACATTTATATCACAGTAATTTAATTCAGATATATGTTGCTGTTTAAAAATTTTCTTAGAGCATTTTGTTTTTTTAAATGCTCCTGAAAATACAAAATGCATCCCTAAACGTTTATTCTCAAATATCATTTTGCAAAACAAAATGTAATGTAATTTGATAAGACAAGATATGTCTTGGTTCCACAGTATCTTCAGTAATGAGGAAGTAGAGCTGTGCATGAACAAGGTTTCTTCACTGCCGAGTCACTCAAAGTCA